AGAGAGTGAAGTAATTGCAGAAGCAGTTGGGGTAAAGAAAACTGTCAAATACGAAGCTGCTGGAGAAGCTGTGAAAACCCTCAAAAAGACCCAGCCGACTGTCATTAACAACTTAAAGAAAGGAGCTATTGAAGATGTGATTTCAAGAAATGAAATCCAGGGCCGCTCAGCAGAAGAAGCTTACAAGCAACAAATCAAAGAAGATAACATCGGGAATCAGCTGCTGCGAAAGATGGGTTGGACGGGTGGTGGCTTAGGCAAATCTGGTGAGGGCATTCGGGAGCCCATCTCTGTCAAAGAGCAGCATAAGCGGGAAGGGCTTGGCCTGGATGTAGAGAGGGTGAACAAAATTGCCAAGAGGGATATCGAACAGATCATCAGAAACTACGCCCGCTCTGACAGCCACACGGATTTGACTTTCTCTACAGAGCTGACCAATGACGAGCGGAAGCAGATACACCAGATTGCCCAGAAGTATGGTCTTAAGAGTAAATCACATGGGGTCGGTCATGATAGATACCTGGTGGTAGGTAGAAAAAGACGGAAGGAAGACCTATTAGATCAACTCAAGCAGGAAGGCCAAGTGGGGCATTATGAGCTTGTGATGCCTCAAGCAAATTGAGATTGTACTAATTTATTTTGTAGGTGCCTAATGAGGCGGGTTTGTGAATTTTAAAAAATGCTACATGTTCCGGGTACAGAGTATATTCATTCTTAAGATGTTTCACCTTGTTCATTTCATATAGTGCTTTATTAGATATTGGAACCTGAAGAATTCTGTCCACTTGTATTAGCTTAATCAGCATATATTGTGCAGTTACTGTTTGTGTCTCTGATATTGCTGTGTCCCTTCAATTTTAGTAGTTTGTACAAAGCAAGAACACATATCCAAATGGAATAGCACCCGAAGAAAAATTCTCATTTTAAAGGGCATAGCACAGCACTCTGCAACATGTAAAATTGATACAATAATTACTTGCAATTAATCTTAATTCCAGATTTACTGAAAATGTCAAATCATTTTGTATTATCTATTTTCATCTTTTGTGTGAAGCCAGTTATAGAATGTTTAAAAAGTAAATTGTGTTGTACGTGTAAATGTCCTTACCAACTAACTGATGTAAAACTTTCTTAACGTAATTTTAGTGTTCATTTATTTATAACTTCTATCATGTGGTTTCCAGAATATTGGAGGTGATTTACTGTATCTTGTGATATACGGTTTTAACAAATTCTAGTCTTCATGCTGAGAGAGCACTACTTGAGAGAGCAATTGAAAAGTTTCAAAAACTTTTGTTTCAATCTGAAGAAAGGAAGCTGGAACTGTTTGTTCTTGGTGCCTTGCAGAGAGACTCACAACAACTCTCCATTATAGCTTTCACTTGATTTGGATGTACAGCACATCCCATGCGGCCACAGCTGTGGTAGAGTCCGCTAAAAAGACTGAAGGTACATTGGTGCTTTGATGAAAAGGTCAGTTGGCTGGTCCCTCTCTCAAAAAGCTTATTAAGTCCCAAAAGCCAACTTTGTAACATATTTAAAACTGCTATTTTCGCTTATTTCTGGAATGTAAAAAAAAAATGTATAAAAAGAGTTAGTGTATGCTTCCTGAATAAAAAGGAGCCAAAGTTGATCAAGATGGTGGTGTACTTATTTCTGGGCAGCAACCTAGGAGCAGCACTGTCTTTGGAGAAGGCAGGTGGTGTTTGCAGAGTAGGGCATCATCAGAACACATGTAGACGGAAACGCATAATAATTTAGCAGATAGGAACAGCTAATCAGTCAACCATCAGCCATGGTACTTTTTTCTGTGGGCCAAAATACTGACTACAGCCAAATCTCAGACTGTTTATCTTTTCATGGTTTTGGTTTGTACCTCAAATACACCAAGATATTTAACAGAGGTGAATAATAATGTTGACAAACATCTCCAGTGAAAAGATGTTCGGAATGATTAGGTTTTCTATAGTGTCTTAAAGCACTTAGCACCATGCTTGCCATGTAATTGCCCCGAAACAAACTAATTTCCCTTCCCTGTTTAGTACTTTATATCACGGAGCTGTCTGTTACAGTTAAGTCATTATTTTAAAAATATAAAGGGTCTGTTAACTTCTATGTCCAGATCTCTAACTTTTAGTCACCTACAGTGATGAATACAGTGTGTGATACTTTCTTTCCACTAACTTCCTACAGTGTGGGAATGTTGTGCATTTTATTTGGCACTTACTGTTTTCATAATGGTAAAGGCAGTTAAGCTATTGTTTGTAGTTGTTTTTGTTTTGTTTTACCTGAAAGGCTCATGCCAACCCTGAGAAGTTAATGGTTCAATTAGTGAGAAAAGCCAGACTTCAGTTCTCTAGAGGGGACTTTGATGATTAAGGAGTGAGAAAACCCATTACTCTCTGTGTTCCCTCTTCCCAAAATATATTTGAGGAGAGAGGTGTAGAGAAATATTACATATACCTGATTTACTTGAGAAAAGTTCAGCAGAACAGAGTAAGTGTTACAGTCAAGGCTCCAAAATTACTGGAACAAGTACATACAGATTTGGCTTCTGAACTTGGGGGGGTCCAGAGTTCCTAACTTGCTTAGAGATCAGCTTTGGCGTTAATCTGGAATTTTGAAGTCACCTAACTGCTGAAAATACATTGTAAAAAGGGTTTCACTAGAATGAACTGCTGACAACCTTGAAGTTTTGTTTTTTGTTGGTATTTTCCCTTTTTTTTTGTTACAGCATTATTTTAACCCAGTAAATGGGCTACAAGCCTTCAAATTTACATGAACAGTTTCAAGTTTGATTTGAATTTCTTAAATTTTAGGAGTTAACTGCTTTCAGTTATATATAGACTTGTATCTCACAGGTTTTTTTAGATTTTTTCCCTCCCCTTTGCAAAATGAATGGAAATTTCATGCATTTTGTTGGGATTCTTTTTTTAGTAGTATAAATGTATCACTTTGCTATGAGTAACCCCTGAAGCTGTAGATGGGTCCTAAATGAAGGAATCTAATACAACTTTGGCGCTTCCTCGTATCTGTAGGTGCAGACTAGAAGATTCAAATTCAAACAGGACTGCCTTGAAAAGGGATCTTGCAAATGTATTTTAATTAACTTTACAATGAGTATTGTTATGCTGACCATATGCAGGTGGTCTGTGGCTTTGGCTTAAAGTGTGAAAAGCCACATTAGCATTAAACTTCTGAATGAATAGTGAGTGGTACCTTTAACCAGGAGCATGCTTTGGGAAGTCAGCTTGTTGACTGTGTTTAAGATTTTAAAAGAATGATTCCATGAAAGATTGGGAATGGTGCTTCCTAGGGGGGGATGCAAAGAAAAGTTACTAAATCTGCACTCCTCCAATCTCAGTTTAAATTCTTTCAAATATGAGTGTGTAAATATTTAATGTACCCAGTTACATAGGATGAAAAAGAGAATGTAAACTAATACACCAAATAAAAACCAATTGAATTTGGTTCCACTTTGAAGTAGAAATGGACTTGAAGGAAAATATTAAGCACATTTAGTGCTACTGCTCCAGGTGAAACCAACCAGTTAGTGTGGGCAGTGCACAATGAACTTGCCCCTCACTGCGGGGCTTTAAGCACCAGTCTTAAAGGACGAGTGGGGCACATACATAGGACTTAATTTCATTTAGCACTTTCCAAATACGTGTAGGTAGGGAGGCGTTTCCACGAGTTCACTTGTCTCATTCAAATGATGGTTGCTCCTCAGAAGAAAGAACTATTCAAATGAGGTTAAGGTTACCTGCATTCCCAAACTTTAGGTGGAACATAAAAGACCACTTAATAATGGTTTGACACTATTGTTTGTTTCTAGGGCTTTTTAGAGGTGGAATGTCAGGACCAGCAACTTAGATCTTGGGACCCTGAGGGTGCTGGTAAATATAGTTTTGTTTATTCTTCCCCCTTACCACAGTGCCATTGCCTTAATACATGTTGAAGTAATTTGAATAGTTTTATACTGTTAATTTCTTTAAGGCATTAACATTTGTGACTGAAAAAAAAACAAAAACCCTCTTCAACAGTATCTCTTTCCCAGAATCTGTTATTTTTGCTTTATCAATATTTAAAGGGGAAAATGTGTAGACAGGAGATTGTAACAAGTTAATACTAAAGGTTCACACTGTGCTAAAATATAATTATACCTTGACTACAAAATTTTAAGGTTATTTTTATTTACAAGTTTTGAAAAATGTACATTTTTTACATGGGTTACCTGTGCAAAGTTAGATTTAGAATAGTGATAAATGTGCAAGATGACAATGGAACATTAGACAAAACATTTACAAGCCTGTCCCACACTGGCATTTAAAGGTACTGTCTAGCTAAAAGTATAAATATCCAAAGAAAGATTGCAAACATTGACTTTAAGGTTTTTATAATACTGAAAGGGAAGAAACTGAAACATGCAGCATAACTCAGGCTTTGAGTGGAAAATATTGGTATTTTGCCACAGATATGCTCCCTTCCTTGAAGTAAAGGTTTAAAAAAAGATAGGGGGTTATAAATGTGTTCATCTAAGGTAGCACTGCTCCTTAAAGATGAAAAGGTCTCCAATCTTCCCTAGCTTAAAAACTAATGATTGTTTTCACCCCTATTTCCCCACACCTCTTTAAAAAGTAAAAAACCCAAAAGACTCCAGTATCCCCAACTTAGCATGGGTGTGTCCAGTGACTATCTTGCAAGGAGAGGATGTGTCAGTTACTATAGGTGCTGCACTGTCCTTTGGCTGAGTCCTTTAATATTCGCCTTACCAGTAAAACCATCTTGTAATTCATAGTGGTTAGATCTGAGCATCATAGCATTTTTTAGCTTCCATTGCTTTCGAAATGGACTATTATATGGATATGCTTCCCTGTTTTCTATAGGCTGTATGCCAAACAGCAATCATTCCTATCCAACACAAGTGAAGGACCAGCCAGGATGAAACACTTCAACCATCATTTTGTTAAAGATATCCCGGTCATCAAGCTATGCATAAGCACCACTTGCATAACAATTCATTTTAAAAAGCTTATTGTAAAGTACAGTAACACAATACTGTCCTAGAACTGCAGATGAGGCACAACAGAAAAGGAATAGTTAAGCATTAGCAATGTTTGCACGTAACCCAGGTACAGTACATTTGATTTCAGAGGGTGTTTCTGATGTTTGAGGAGTGGGTAGAAGGGTAGGAAAATCTTGGCAAGGGAAGATGGAAACAGCACAACAGCTATTTTGCATTTAATAAAGTAAATAATGACACTGAGGAATAGGAAGATGACAAACACATCAATATATATTTTTCATATGACCAGCTTCTTTTGCTGCGCCCGGGTCAACAATCACGCCAGCTCTGTTCCACTATTGCAGAAACACGTTTTTCATATTCCCGCTTGTTCTCCTGGTACAGCTGAGCAGCCTGGCTATTTGCTGGACTATTGGGGTTGGGTTCATCCAATAGAGACTACAGAAACAATTTTTAGAAAGTCAGTTCCTCAACGCAAAAAAAAAAAATACACATACTCAAAACATTAACAGCTAGTTTATAAGATAGTGACATTCAACTGAATTATCCTAAGTAACAGTAAAGTTGCTCTTTTAGCATACTAAGCTAGTGGTACATTAATCTGTTAGTAGCTAGGCAAATGTATCTATTTCCCAGAGTCTTGGATTTTTTAAAGATTAACTTATTTATGCATACAAGAACTGGGTTCTTGTATGTGGGGGTTGAAGGGGGGTGACAGGATTCACCAAGGACAAAGTGGGAAGCAGAACAAGCAGACTGACTAAAATATACTGAGGGGAGCAGTGGGCAAGACCGCAGAGGTCTGCTGCACCATGTGGGGCAGCTCCCTGGCCAGGAATCAAACTCATGCTGCAGTGGCTGTGGATAACTTCATAGTGCTGAGACTTAATTCCTTGTACCACTAGAGAGGCCCTGACTTGGATATTGATAACCTACATTTTACCTTGAGCTTAAGTTAAGACTATTTAATTGCTAATATAATATATCAAAGGTTGTTAGTAACATTAAGGGAAATTCACCTGTATAGATGTTAAAATGGAAGACACATCATAAGTTGGACTCCAGCGGTTCTGAAGTATGTCCAGACATATACTACCATCTGCATAGACTAGGAGCATAGAAGTAGACAGGTTAAACATATCAAAACCACTAAGGTTTTAACAGTATAATCAAGACAAATATAGTCAAGAACAGTTTGCTTTTCAGATTTTGAAAGATTCCAAAACTGCTTCTCAATTAAGTTTTTAAAAAGATGAGTCATAATCACTACTAGTGGAATCATCAGGATGATCTCAGATGTCAAATGTAATCAGTATAAAGCTGGCAGGCACTTAGTGTGTGTTCTCCCGAAGACTGCCCCGTTATGCAGGAAATCATAGACATTTTCTGACAGACTCCCTAGCCACCCATATACTCGTGGGGAATTCATTCTACCCAATCTGTAAACTGAATCTCCTACCTGAAATAAGATAGCTTAGAGTTCACAAGGTTACAGTTCGGCATGAAGATAAAAATATCTGATACTCTGGAACATACTTTATTAACCTGAATGAAAGGCAAGCTGTTCTAGGCTTACTATTAGAAAAATAGCCAATCATTTGTGGTGCTTTCCCAACATGCTATATCTCTATCCCCACACTTCAAACACAGAACCTGATATTCCGCAGGGCTGGAGTGGAGCCAGGGCACCTACATTTTTAAAATGTTCCTTGGTAATTCTGATGTCCATTCAAAGCTGAAAACTATCCTAAATACTAGTGAAAATAACTGTAAGATTACCCCAACCTGGCCTAACATTAAAAGGAAACCTCAAGAGTTAAATAGAAAGATCAAGCCAGAAAGTTCTTAAAATTCCAAAGGCAAAGTCCCTTTATTGCTTAACTTCTAAGACTATAGATGAAGACAGCATGGACAAGTTCCATTTTCAGGAAACAGCCAAAACTCCTAAACACAAACAGGCACTGCAGGCAAATAGGAAATATGGGCTAACTCCACACTACACAGTGTACAGGCCAGGTATTAAAAGTGATACTTGCCATTTGGATGAAACATCTTAGAGACAAATCTAACCGTAGGTGGCTTATTCGGATATTCCTCAGTGAATTCTATTGTAAGCTTAAACGTTCCTGTGGTTAAAAAAGAAAAATTTAAGAAAGCATACTTATTGCTTTGTTCAGCAGTATATGGCTTTTAATGCTATGCGACTTTTTCTTCTTTGAGCATTAAATGGAATAATGTAAAGATACTGGGTAGAGAGGCAAGAGCCCAGGGAAAGGATACCTCTCCAGCAACTGCTCTAGGAATGGATGGACACTATGAACTGCCAGCCAAAGGTGGTGTGCCCTTGGGTTTGTCTTTACTCTTCCTCCAACTTAAAGACAGTCATCTTAAACTGAGAATTCCTGCCTGTGAAATAACTCAGCCACTATACAGTCTGAAGATGGCATTAAAATGACAAGAAGCCAAATTACAAGGGCCAAAATGTGGCCTTTTTCCTTTAAGACTGAAAGACCTTAAAGGTCTCTCTTGATCAGTGGCCACCTTAAATGCTGCCTGTGATTTAAATGTGCCAGAAAGAATGAGAGCACAAAGGTTCAAAAGTTTATACAAATCAGTAGTCAAATTATTTGTTTTAAGGATGCAATACTCATAAAAATGCCCACTGGTTCCTTTTCATGTACTAGCGACTATAATGAAAACATAATTGAATGCAAGCCCAAAAAGCTTGACAGTCCCTCTCAGTGTGACTCCCAAGGTACTTCACTATAAAATCCACTCGATTATTCACACTAATGGAGGGAATTAAGGGCAGACATAATTTTAAAATAACATTAGATTGTATTCATGTCGCCAGCAATTTATCTTTTGAAAGATGTTTGTTTAGGCTATTATTACTCCAATACAATAGACCACATTTCAGAGAGTATAACTGTTACCGGTTCCTGCAGAGAGTAGTTTATTTCCTACTTGCTTCCATTAATAGGCTTAGCACATCATGCTGCTAGATGTAACAATACCAAACCCAAACTTTGGGTGCTGCTAGAAGGCTCACAGGAAACAATTCACTAAACAAAGTTCCTCTAGACAGCATCCATTATCTTCATCAGTTATCCTAAGTTTCACAATAATAAAAGATGCAGTATCTGGAGACATATTATAGTTCTACTCCCTAAATGACTTGAAAGTCAGTCTGAAGATGCTACATAATATGACTAAGGACAAAAAGTGAAATTTTTTGGAAATAAGCCTGCTATATATAGTTTATCAGAAATGTTTCACCTTTACGCCCCCTGGTCACACATCCTCTTTTTGAGGAAGAGAACATGGTTCTTCCTTTCTCAGTACTACACACAGTGTAATATGCAAGAAAAAGTGGGAATGAGTGTTAGGGAGCTCAAAACTTTAGTGTTTCCTCATGTAACACATTTGGCTCAAATGTTGAAATGTGATTCAAAGAACTGCTCTAAAATTGGGCAAATTGAACAGTTTACTTTAAACTAAAGCCATTGTTAAAGGGTAGCGCTGAAGGTGGTAGGCAAGGCAGGCATCAGTGGTGGAAGCAGAGCAACAGCTTTGCTGTCAGACTTGGGCTCAAATCCTTGCTTTGTTACTGTGGAGCAGTAAGTTAGGAACCCTTAGGGAAGCCACTCAATGTGAATATACCTCAAGTTCCTCATCTGTAAAGTGGGATACCCAACTCAACGCTGTTGTGACATTGAAATGGGGGAAATAAACAGTGCCACAAAGTATAAGCACAAGCAATTACTTTAGCTCTAATAACTAGAAAATTTCATATCTCTAGATCAAGGAAAAAGTAAAAATCCAAGCTTTACTGTTAGAAATATAAATGAATTAAGATAAAATACTACTTTCTGACCTACATCAAACACTCACAGGTAAAAGCAAATTGAGGACTTAAGTTGCTGGTTCACAAAACCTTTGACTTGAGCTTTCTGCCTAATAACTGTCCAGAGTTCAATAAGGTGGTTACCATGCTACCAAAATAAGTTACTCTAGTCTTTTAAAACAGTTCATTTAACATCTGCAGTAAAACATCCTGCTTATGTCTACTTGAATTCAGACTTACCCAAATCTTATTCCAAGTACATATTAAAAAGAGAGTATTTTAAACATTTTAACAACCAGAACTTCTTTAGTGCAATTCTCAATGCAATTCCTAAGATCCAAAACCAATGTAAAGGAAATTTAAATTCCTAGAATATTATGCAATTGAGACTAAAGCTTATCCTGTGAATACTTAGGAGGTTAAGCTTTAAAATAACACCATCGTTGTTGTAACAGTCTATACTGATTTTATCTTCTTGAAGTATAGCCAAAGCAATGTAAGGAAAGAATTTATGTAGATATAGGGACCAGGAAATGTATGTAAATGTGTTAAATGGCTGTTGTGTGCAATAAGGATACAGTTAAATGAGTGTGTGCTCTGCTAATTCAAATCCCAAAATTCAAATATTTGAAGATAGGTTAGCCAAAGAAAACAGCGCTGCAGGTATTTTCTGTAATCTCTCCACCAGTTCATGACCCCTAAGAAAAAAGCAGTCGATGGACTTTTTTGATGGTAAATTCAGATTTTTAACATAATACCCATTTACTCTTTATCAAAGTATTTACCTTAATAACACCCTTCACAATTTTTGAGTTCTTAAAAAAATACTTATACCCAAATTCTTAACAATCCATCTATTATGAAAAGTAAATGCTAGCATTTTATTGCATATATTAACAATTTCTGGATGATGTGGAGAATACTTTATGCCACAGCCTTTGCCCTAGCAACATACCAAGACATTCTGATGAGGAAGCATGGCCCCCCTGCCCTGAATGTTCTGCTTGGTAGTGGAAGTTCTTGGGTACAGTCCTCTTATTTCATGTGTGTAAAGTTAAATAAAAACACCTTAAGAGTTCCTTAACTAGGGCTGAGCTGTTGGAAACAGAATTCCTTACAAGAAAGCAGCAAAAGTAGTTTGGGGGCTGTTGATTCATGAAAAACACTGGAAACAGCAAAAGCAACTATGCCACCTGTCCAGTGTTTGCCGTAAATTCCCCGAGGGTAAATAAGAGGTATTTTAAAACATATTTTAAAAAATATTTCCTGTAGCCTCAGTCAGTGTTCTAGACACCCGAGGACGCATCCATGGCCAGCAGGCTGCTGCATGGAATGAACCTGAAAGAATGCTGTCATTCAGCCTGAGTAATTCCCTCCAGTAATGCCAGGCTAGCGCTCCACACATCATCAAAAACAGAGCCAGTAATGTCAAGGGGGAAGGTCCAGGTAGATAATGGATTCCATAAGTACCTTTTCAATTCATACCACTTAAAACAAGAAAAGCACCCTTGAAATATTTAAGTAGCCAACCCCCAGCAAAGTGATGTACTATTAATAAAGCTGTGCCCAGCATAAAGCAGTCTGAATAAAATCAGGAGGAAAAAAGGAGCCAATGAAAACAAAGCTTGCTAGAGATAAGCATATATCCAATATATCTTCATATAAAGCTTAGGAATGAAGAACTAGCAACACCTTGCAGTAGAGGAAAATTAAGTCTGGCTACCTCTTACGGTGGATCAGTTTAAATGATTTATTGCACCAAAGGAATGTGCCTTTAGAATCACTTTCTACTGCTGCCATTTCTTTTTATTGCAACACTGAAGAGCACTGATATTTACCCAGAGGATGAAGGCAGAGAGGAAGCTCAAAGTAGTCAGGTGACTATCTACAGTCTTCTAGGGAAATCTGAGTATTTGAGTCAAATTATAAAATTAGTTGATACTGACCTACCTCAAATCTTGTAGACCGGTAGCATCAAAAGCACTCCGTCTCAGCAGCCTATGTAACGGACTTAGCAAACTACAGAAGTGTTTTGTGTTCCCACCTTCACGCTGGGTGATGTGCACGTGTGTGCGCATACCCAGATACAGCTAATGCTATGTGGGCAAAGTAAGTCACTAAGAGCCTTTTCTTCTGGTAAACAGCTCAAATTTAAGACCTATTTGAATGCAGTCACTGGAGTTCATTTTAGTCACCTTTTATATAGTATTAAAGTTTCAACACACAACTATACACACAAGACTGGGTGCCCTTAAAGCTGTATGGATGTCAGTTTCCTGCTTGTGACAGAGCATCACCACCTCACCAGTATTAGCAAAGGGAGGGGAAGGTGAAGGGTACAGACAGCCTCCTGTCACCTTCTGTAACTACACAGGTATCTATAATTATCTAAAAGCAGAAAGTTCTTAAAAATCTTGAAAAGCAATTAACATGTTTTTAAAAGTCAAACCTAAATCCATTGGAAGTCATGTGCCTACACATACAGGCAGTACCTTCCAGTAGGCTGGAGACTGGTGAATTCAGCACATTAAAGCTAGCCTCAGTTGTGAAGCAGCTTTAAGGTGACTGACCATAAAACCACATGCTAAAAATTTATTTAAAATTAAAATTATACTCAAGCTGGCTGTTAAAGTGTGATTAAATACCATCCTTAGAGCAGGGAGGCTCAGTCAGTGCCAGGTTGTAGAATCCAGAGAGCTGTGTGCAAAGGATTCTTGCAGCCATTCCATGTCCAACAAACACACAGTAAGCACCTGCTGAACACAGTTTCTGCCCTTGGGTCTCTAAGTCTACCAGCAAGTGACTGGACTGATACTTAAGCTTTTTGGTGGGAGCTGAATTTAGCAGGTTCCCAGTCCAGACCTCAAAAATCCTCAATAGTGTTACCATGCTCCTTGCCCAGATTTCTTTCTTTCTTTTTAAGAAAGCAAGTAAGAGAAAAGGTACAGTTTTAGTGAAGTGGATAATAGCCAAAACAACCTGCCACAGACTGGCCTCCACTCAAGCCTTTAGCAGGCAGGAGCTATAGAGAAGCAGGTTCCTAAGGAGAAACTTCCAGGATGACTGGAACCCTGTTCCCGGAGACATCAGGCTCCTGAAAAAAGTGTGTAAAGAAACTCTCTTACCATCCTCAAAAGGGGTCCCTTCAGGCCTGCAATACAGAAAACAACAACAAGAAGTCAGTGTCCGTTTATTAAGGGGCTCCCTTCCCTCTGGTTCACTTCAGGAGGTGCCTATTCCCAGCCCTGCCAACTCCTTCGCGGGCAAACCACTGTTTCCTGGGTGAGAAAACCAGTACAGATCCAGGTTTGGGGCTCAGAAAGCCGGCAGGCCGCCGCGCCAAACCGCCACCACTCCCCGCCCCGCCCCCCTCAGAACCCCAAACGGTTCCCCTGGCAGCGGGAACAGAGCTAATCGAGGCACAGGCTCCGGGAAGGCGCCTAGGCCCAGCCAAACCCAACCCGTCCCCTTCCCCTCGGCCTCGGCCAGGGGCCCGGCCGGAGGGCAGACCCATCCCAGTGGGCGCCCCCCATCTCTCGCCACCGCCCTGAACGCAGACTCACCCAAAAATGACCGCGTTCCAAACCATTATGTTGTTCTCAGACGGAGCCCCGCTGACTCCCGCTGGGGGATCCTCCTGCAACCTTCAGAGAAACACACCCGAGTCCCGGCATCCGACACTGGCCTCGGCTCGCCAGCTCCCCAGCGGCCCCAAGTACCCGCCCTGGGCCCGGCGGCCAGCCCCCCGGCCCCAGCGATCCCGGCCGCTTTACCTCTTGAAGTCCCTCATGAGACGCCGCCGGGCCGGGGTGGACATATCTCTAGTTGGGTCAGGGGTGGGGCATACACCGAGGTCTCTGGTATCCGCTGACGGCACGGAGGCTGAGTAGGCTGCGGAAGCCGAAGAAGCCGAGGGAGAAGCGCCCAAAGGTACGGCACTACCTCTCCGAAGTCGAGGGTCGGTCTGGCGCCGGCTAAGCACCACCCCGGAGTAGACCGAGGCTGAACCAACCTGGAAGAAACGGGGGGGTTGGAACGCCGAACGCCGGACAGGCCGTACCAAGACGGGGCGCGGGGGGTGGGAGGGAAGGAAAGTTGCTTAGGTCATAAAACCCCAGAGGAGGAAGGCGGGGCGCGCCGGGCGGTGCAGCCTAGAGGCCACCGCCCCGCCCCCGGAAGCGCGAAATTCGCAAGGGGTTAAGGGATGCTGGGGGGCTCCAGCTCCACCTGCCACTTCTAAAGGGAGCCGGCCAGCTTTTGTGACTCTTTTCTTTTTCTTCTTCTTTTTCTTTTTCTATTTCTTTCTTTTTCTCTTTCTCTTTCTTTTTCTTCCTTCCTTCCTCCCTCCCACCCTCCCTCTTCTTTCTCTCTTGCTTTCCATCCTTCTTGTCTTCCTTCTTTTCCGTCCTTTTTCTCTTTCTCGTCCTTCTCTTTCGCGCTTTTTCCTTTACTTCTTTCCCCCTTTCTGTCCTTTTCCTTTCTTTTCCTCTTTGTCTCCTTTCCCTCCTCTTTCCTTCCTCCTTTTCCCCTTTTCTTACATTTTTGTTTTCTTCTCCCTTCCTTGTTCCCTTGCTTTCTTTTCTTACTTTTTCTTTCCTTCCTCCTTTGTTTTATTGCTTTCTTTTCTTCTTCCCTTCTTCCCTTTCTTCCCCTCTCTTCCTTCCTTCCTCCCTCCCTCCTTTCTCTTTTTGAAAGCAGGCTATTTCTTCAGAAGTGTACTCTGAAACTATAGATCTGAGACCTACAGCAGAGGAGAGGGAGGGAGAAGGATCAAAACGGGAGGGAGGAGCACAAGGAGATACGGTGACGGTTCAAGGGTGATGTGGTGTTGGGAGATTTACAAGGACTACACCTGAGGGGAGGATCAATACTGTACAGAAATGAACAATGGTGAGAAAACATTTTAAGTTTAATTTAAAAAATTGCGTGTACTTGACAGGGGAGCAAACTTCTCTCTCCAGAGAGAAGAGGTGGAGGCAAAACTAGTTCTCAAATATCAGGGACTCTAGAGTGCCAATTCCCTGCAGACACAGGAGACTGGAGGCAGGGTAAGGAGAGGGGGCAATGGTTGAAATCACTGCCCATGGAATTACTAAATCGGCCTCTACTGTGAAAGGGGGCCCAGGGCCCCATTTTGCTGGGACAAATGGGCAAGTTTCCAGTCCCAACATTTAGGCAACCAATCACTCCAAGCAGAATTAATTGGTGTAGTGTGTCCTGGGGCTAATAAGAGAGCTTAAGACAAGTAGAATAAAGTTTCAGATCTGGGCACTCACAATTTGACTCTGGAACCACATTTTGCCTTGGCAGGTCAACAAACCAAACAGCTGCTGTAGGTTTTGAAGAGTCCAAGGTATGAGAAAATCCGACTGCAGGAATTGGAGGGGCAGTGGCTCTGAAGTAAAAGTAACAGAAGTGGCACTGAGAAATCTGCAGGTTGCAGGGACGAGTCACAGCATGTGGACCTGTAAAAGCAATACCAGGTTTAAAGAATACATTTTAAGCCCGAAGTAACTTAGAGGGTTAACAAAATATACATTTAGTTATTATTGAACAGGGCCTCCCTGGTGGCGCAAGGGGTTAAGTCTCAGCACTATGAAGCTTTCTGCAGCCACTGCAGCATGAGTTCGATCCCCGCCCAGGGAGGTGACCCACATATGGCACAGCAGACTTCTCCTGTCTTGCCTGCTGCTCTCCTCAGCAATGTATTTTAGTCAATCTGCCTGTTCTGTTCCCCACTTTGACTCTGGTGGACCCCCTCACCCCTTGCAGTTTTGCCCTATACCCCAGTTCTTGTATGCATAAATAAATACATCTCAAAAAATTATTACTGAAGATATGAGAACAGTAGTTTTGGGTTAAGTGATGGAGGGTTTTGAATGTCAAGCTGAAGGACTGTGGGGTAGAGCAGAGGAGTGATATGACTAAGCTGCACTGACCAGCGACTGGTTTCAGGCGAGCAGCCAGGAGACTGTAGAGGTATGGTAGGTGAGTGATTCTGAACTAGGCAGTGACAATAAATATGAACAGGAGGGACAAACAGAAGAGACTTGGGAACAGACTGAAATTGGGGTCAAGAAAGCAGACCGTGTCAATAATGGCTGGAGATAACTGGGAATTTGAAGGCACTGTCAACAGAATTAAGGTATAGAGGGGCAGGGGCAATTTGGGAAAGAAAATTTTAGGGGGACTGGTGCTATATCCACAGGAAGATTCCAGAAGATATCAGATATGCAGAAATTTCTCTCTAATTTGGGAAGCAGGAGGCACTTCACAATAGCAGTGATTCTACCTTAACAACAGGTAGCTTCATGGCCAAGGATTTATATCTCCCATTAACTCCAACATATCAGTTATGGCAAGGCTCCTTAATGGCGTCATATTATGGTTGTGGTGGGAAGGGGGTACAAAAATCAATAAAATATCTCCCTTTCCGCTCAGCTTGAAAGTTGCAGTCTACTAATGCTCACAGATGAAATCAACAAAAGCAACATCTACAAAAGCAAGTGCATTCATTTCCTATTGCTGCTTAACCAATTACCACAAGTCATTGGCCACATGCAGTTCCTTGTGGTTGTAGGACTGAGGCCCCCATTTCCTTGCTGACTGCCAGCCACAGACTATTTTCAGCTCCTGAGGTCATCCAATACCCTGCCATGTGGCTTATTCTATCAAAAAAAGACAGCAACACAGAATTTCTCTCCCTCAAACCCCTCTCACGCTTTTGATCTCTTTCCTCAGAAAGAGCCCAGTTCACTTACCTGATTAGGTCAGGCCCACCCTGGGGGGTCTCTTTAAAATCATCTGATTTTGGACCTTAATTACATCTGCAAAATTCCTTCACAGCACAACTTAAATGGGTGTTTGATTGAACAACCGGGAGAAAGTGTGTATACATCAGTGACCAAGAATCTTGAGGGAAGGGATAGCATCTTGGATATCTGTCTACCACAGCAGCAAGATACATAGCAGATGCGTGTGAGTTCACAAATCCTGAGGGATTGTACAGCAGGACAATTAGCCTGGTAGGGTTAGAACAAGCTTTCTGAAATGAGCCTATTTTAATTTTGTTTCAAAAGGGATCAAGCTGGACTTGGGAGAGAAGAACTCTGGCAGTTTCCAGGAAGACAACAGCATAAACAAGGCCATGGAGCTAAACCATGTTTGGTGATACTGAGCAGATTAGTATGGCCAATGGAGAATAATGAGAGTTCAGCTTGGAAAAGTGAAGGTGGGAGCAATTGATACAGTGTCCTCAAATGCACACATGAGTGATTTAGGCTTGATGACAGCTTCTACACAGGTTTGAACCTGTGAGATATTGAAAATATCCTTCAGTGGAGTGATTATAGTGTATGTACTGGAAAGTAGGAAAAGGGATGGGAAGCCCCTGCCACTAGATATAAATGTGTAAAATTCATTGAAGGCTATGGATACACTTGAGTTTGTTGTTAGCTTGTCTGTTTTCTTTTTTAAAAATATTTATGCACAGAAGAATTTGGTGGAGGCGTGGGAAGCAGAAAAGGCAGATCAATTTAGTACACTGCTGAGGGGAGCAGTGGGAGAGATAGGAGAGGTCTGCTGCGCCATGGCGGGGGTCAGCTCCCTGGCCAGGGATCAAACTTGTGTCACAGCCATGAGAATGCTGAGACTTAACCTCTACACTTGTCTGTTTTCTGAAACTACTTTGTTCTTCCTTTCTTGGGCTGACTAATCAAGAAAACTCAGGAATATGAACCAAAGCAGTTTGAAGATCCCATGGCACCAGGTGTGGGAGAGCATTCCTGACAGAAAACTGTGTCCCCACATTCCTCCTCAGAAACAGGCTCGTCACAGCAGGCAGCAACATGAAACATGGCTCCCCAGGACAGTGACTATCAGGCCGCAACATACTAATTGTTGTAGGACTGGCCAAGCAGTCCTTCCTCTCCCTTATCACCTTGACATTCTTTTATTTTCATATTTATTTTTAACATCTTTTTACATCATTCCCTGTAAAATTCCCACCACCAGTTTACCTGCAAACCTTCACCATAGTCCCTTGTGTTCTTCTCGCCCCCATTTTAATCCCCTTTCTTACTCCTCCCTCACAGAATGTCTCTTATTTATGGCTGTCTATTAGTTATTTTTAAATTACTGTTTTTTTTCCTGATTCCTTATTTGGTTCCCCTACATTACTCCCATAAGTGAAACCATTCAATACAACCCAGAAGTATCAGAAAATAAAATCATAAGGTCTTTCTTGATGCCAATAGTCTCAGAAGACAAGGAGGTGGCAGTTGTCACTGTGTGCTCTTGGCAATAAAAGTAGCAACATTCCATTCTAGCCATCTTTAGCTCCTAGGACTTCAGGAGGGAACAGTAGGGAAAGGGAGGAGTAGCAGAGACGTGCAAGAGAATGGGAGAGGGAAGAGCGGAGAGAGAATCGGTAAAATTGAGAGAAATGGGGAAATTAAAATCCTGAGTATAAAGTTTCACTACTTGCTGAATCTAGGGAAATGAAGACAGCACATGGTAGTCTGGATAATTTCCCGCTCCCCACCCCACTGGAAGCTATTTTGTCTTATGTGACAAGACGGGATTTACAGGTGTGGTTAAATTAAGACTCTGGAGATGAAGGAATTATCCAGGATTAAATGAATAGGCCTGATGTAATGACATGGGTCCTCAAAAGAGGGCAGAAGGAGCGTAATGCAGAGAGAAGACCATGGAAGGCATGGAAGCAGAAATTGGAGTCATATAGTTATGGAATCATGGGATGCTGCACTTTTGAGAAGCTGGAAGAGCCAAAGTATGGAGTCTCCCCCGGAGTCTCTAGATCAAGTAGTCAGTCCTTTTGATGTTAGAGCAGTAAGTTGATTTCAGACCCGACTTTCAGAATTATAAGATAATAAATTTGCGGGTTTTTTTATTTCACAAAGTGTATTGTAGTTTCTCACAGCAGCAATAGGAAACTAATCACATGGATACAGTGTTGTGTGTGGGAATTCCATTAAAGCAGTCACATTTACCAGCAAACTACAATCAAATCCAGCCTGACCTGCAAGCTAAGAATGTTTTCCTATACTTTTAGGTGGCTGGGGAAAAAAATCAAAAGATGAATAACATACAAAAATATCTCATGACACATGCAGATGATATGAAATTAAGATTTTCACGTCCATAAATAAGGTTTGGTTGAGACACAGTGACAGTTTGTTACGTATTTACTGTTTGTGGTTACTTTTGCGTTACAGTGGCGGAGTTGAGTAGCCACAGTGGAAACTATATGGTGCTCTCAACACTACACAGTGTTGGTTGGTTCGCTACAAATTGCTACAAATTGCAGGGACAGGGTTGTGACTGAACAGCATTTTGAGTGCCATGTGTATTATCATATTGTGGCAGATGATTTCATTACAAATGCATATGTATCATGTCAAAACAAAAAAGAAACATAGATTTCATAGATCCTGCTTTTAAGGCACAGTGGAGTATAGAGTACTTGTTATCAAATTAGATGTCAAAGCTTCACATTTATAATGCCAAGCACTGTACATTCTTCAAAGAATACAATTTACACCAACATTACCAAACTGAGCATTCATCCTGATATTGCCAACTCAGGAAAGCAGTAGAAAAATAACAAGTTTTAAAATGATTATCTTATCATAGCAGAATTTTTCACAAAAATAAAACATGCAAATAAGACTATAGGCAAGTAAATTTTTGAGTGACTCATTTGTTAGTCAAGCAAAGAAAGTCATTTACTGATGGTGAGGTAACTAAGTCGTGATTGATTGCAGATGCCAAAGAACTGTGTCCAAGGAAAAAAAAACTTTTTAAAGTCTTTTAGCAAGAACAGTGACTCAAAGAATTGAGGACATTGGAAGCAACATCCATGGACAATTTAAAAACCAAGCAAATATTTCAAATGGTTTTACTTAGCTTTGATGAGTGGCTGGATGTTACCAATACTGCTCAATTGTTGTAGCTAGCTCAAAGTCAATGCTGATTACTCAAAGTTAAAAAGATGGAAGAATTGAACTAAATGGTCTGTGTGGAACTGTAGATGAGAATGTTTTCAGAGTTGACAAAACATTAATTCAACAGAATGTGAAGTACAACTGCTAAGATGTGTTACAAATATGTATGGAGCAGAAAAAGGCTTAGATGGACAAATGTACAAAGCTTGTGATAGTTGCTTACAGCTTATGGTCATTCATTGTATCATTAAACAACATATACTTTGCAGAAATATTTGAATTTGCCTTGTGTTATTCAACCGTGAGTGTGAATAGTGAACTTCATTCCTCTCATGGGTTAAACCATTGTCAGTTTCATGAATTTTTGTCAGAAACAGAAGCTTGTCCCTCTAACAACAATTCACTAGTTTATTACTGGTAAAAAATTTTATTTTAGTTCAGGACTAAGATTAACACCTTTCTGAATGAAAAGAGTCATGTTCACCCACTACTATTGAACACTGAATGCTTTGAAATTAACTTTTTCTATAGACTTGATTGTGTTACTTAATGAATTTTAAGTTGGAAGGCATAACACTGCTTATATGCTGCAATAGCCATTTTGATGATAGCTAATATTGTTTGAATAATAAGTAACTTTAATTGCTTCCTCTGCTATAAATGTTAAAACAATCAAGATTTGCATTCCTGTACAAATTGGCTGTGGATATATTTTCTGAGCTCAAATTACTTTTCCAGTGGCATTTTTGGATCTTGATGCAAGTATAAAGAAAATCTCTATATTTCAAAATCAAACTAACTGCGCATTTGAGGAACTTCCACCTACATTTCCATTGGATGTGAATATTCTGCAATGTAATGACATGATCAAAGGCAAATATCAAAAGAAGAATCTAGTAGAATTCCATAAATGCCTTCCAAAGATGAATATGCTCAACTAAAATGAAAATATTGTGGGCTGATATCAATATATGGCAATTATTTAAAAAATTTAAAAATGGAATACATAAAATTTCATTACAGATAAGAATTAAAAATATTTTACACCTGATTTTTTAATAATTTCAGACCTTTTTTAACAGCTGTTTGTAGTTTGTTGACTCATTTGAAAATACCAAATGGTAAACTTTTATTATAAATTAAAAAAAGGGTTCTTAAAAATATCAACTTGATTAGAAATGTGAAACAAGTTAAAAGCATTAAAGATACACTGAGATTGCAACTGATTTTGATGATCAAAAACTCACTTTAACCCCAATTAAGTAAACTATTATCTCTCTCCAAAAAACATTTTTCTTATTAGTAGACCTATATTACAAAAAAATATATACTCAATTATTATATTTTAATTTTCATCAATAAAACATTTCTGGATATTTGATTTCTCTTTTGTTGTATAGGTACTTGTAGAATGTTCTTGATTTTGCCTCTTAGTCCTTAAAACATAAAATATTTATTCTCTAGCCCTTTAAAAATGACTATCCACCCTTAGACTAAGCCACATGAGAGTATGAGACTATAATTGATAACTATACAATCAATATATAACACAGTGTCTGACACAAAGCAGATTAAAAATTGCTGAATAACATACAGTTGAGTGTATGACAATGTCAGTGCTGTGCTTTAACCTGCTGCACCACCAGGGAGGGCCCGAGTGTATGACATTGTACCTAAAGAGAAAACAGGGTAATTCTTTAAGACTTGAATTGATGGATTATTGTTAATACTTTATTTAATTCACGTTTAATAGAGAGCTGACAGATCACTTTAAATTCCCACTGGCTTACATCTTGTGTACCTTCAACACTGCACTTTTTCTAGCCAACCTACCGATTTTCTACTCATGAGCTCCTGCTATATTCAATAAGTTCTCTATTAAAAAATCTGCTATTTGGGTATCATCACTTAGATTATTGATGCTATCCAATGTAAAACTAGATCAATGTCTTCATTCTGGATTGCTTTAGGGTCCTGTCCCCCACTGAGAGAATTCTGGATATTTCTGGACTGGGAAAGGAAGGGTGGAACAAATTCCCTTATACCCATGGCAAATATGATCAATCATTAGATCCTCCATAGGCAAATCATGTACATTATTAGGGTCTAGTACACAGAATATACAATGAACAGTGGCAGCTCAACAATAAAATGACAAATAATACAATAAAAGTGGATAAAGTATTTGAATCGTCATTTTCCCAAATGAGAGCTACAAATGACCAGTAAGAATGTGAAAAGATACTTAATACCACTAGCCATCAAAGAAAGGCAAAAGCACAATAACATACTACTTCACACCCATCGGGATGACTAAAATTAAAAAGACACACAAAAATGATTACTGGTGAGGATCCTGCAACAATCAAAGTTCTTTGCCTCACAATGCTAGCTGGTCATAGGTAAAATGGTAAAGCTTCTCTGGGAAACTCTCTGGATTCTGCCTCAGAAGGTTAATCCATGTTACCAGACAGTCGAGCAATTTTACTGTTAAAGTATATACCCAAGAGTGTGAAAAGCACCATCTCACAAAAATGTGTTACATTAATGGGTCATAGTAGAATTAGTTGTCACTTCCAAAAAAGTGGATACAACCCAAATGTTCATCAACTGAAGAAAGAATAAACAAGAAATGGTATGTCCATACAACAGTATTATGCAGGCTTAAAAAAGGAATGAAGTTTCTTTAGACTGAGTCATTTACCATATGTACTGATTCACATAACACTATGGATGAAAGTTATGCTAAATAAAAAAAGCCAGACACTAGTAACCATGTATATTACTGGGAAAGAGGTGGTGAGAGTGACTACTAATGAATATGGGGTGTCTTTTAGAGCTGTTAAAAATGTTTTGGAATTAGGTAATGATAATGGTTGCATGACTGTGAATCTTTAAAAAAAAAAACCACTGAATTATCTACTTGAAAAGGGTGAATTTTATGTTATGTGAATTATACCTCAGGTTTAAAAAGATACCTCTGCTGCATTAGGTATGCGTCATGAATACAGCCACTAAGATCAAGATGATATTTAGAACAAACCTAAAATCTGTAGTATTGCAATGTAATGTGGAATACATCCTCCTTTGGGATATCTGGTTTAATATATATACAATCAATATATACATATATACATATACATATATACATATACATATATACATACATACATACATACATATATATATATATATATATGAGTCTAGGAATAGAAATGAACAATTTAAGTAACATTGAGAGCGTTGCAAGTAGAGCAGCCCAAGCTAACTCCGACCAAGAAAAGGAGCTGCTGGGAAGCTCAGACTGCCCCCTGGATCTCAGCCTAATGGCACGGCCCGGAAGTTGACTATACCGACATGTGACTGGCTTTACTATAAGGAAGAGGTACGGCGCGCGTTCGTGACGTCATGTCAGCGCGACCCTGACTGTCGATATTGCGTTCTGGTTGCTCCTCAGCATCATGCCTAAAGTAGTGTCCCGTTCGGTAGTCTGCTCCGACACACGGGACCGGGAGGAATATGACGACGGCGAGAAGCCCCTTCACGTGTATTACTGTTTGTGCGGCCAGATGGTGCTGGTGCTGGGTGAGTAGCCGGGACCTGGGGAGGCGTCTGCGAGAGGGCGAATTTGCCCCGACTGTGACCTGGAGCCACGCCTCCTGGAAGATTGGTGGGCTTCTGCCCTCTCCTTCAACACCCGCCCTCTCCCTCTCGGCCCCACTGCCTGGCTTTTTTCTGTTTTCTGGTTAACCTTCGCTGTGTCTAGAGCTTCCTGAAAACGAAATCCTTTTTCAGAAAAAAAAATTATATATATATAAATATATATAAATATATATATAAATATATATAAATATATAAATAAATATATATAAATATATAAATAGGTTTCATTGTCCTGAGCCACTGAGCAGTGAGCACACCCAGCTTCTTCCCTAGTAGCTACTTGGTACAGGCTGTATGTGTATCAGAGCATTCCTGCTTTTAGGGCGTGTTAGTATTACTTGAGGTTTTATGGGTTATTTTGTAGATTTTATCTGAACCTAATTATTTGATGGCAATTACTTCTTCTCTTTACTCCATTTTGGCTTATGAAAAATTTCATAGCAATTTCACTCTCCTTTTGTATAGTGTTGGAAACACAAAGTCATTTGTAACTCTAGCAAAATAAAGGATGGGATGCTATAATATTCCTTTGTTCTGCTATATTAAGATTAAAATGTAACATATACATTCTAGAATAGGTAATATAAATTGTGAAAAGTTCTGACTAAAGAAAATAGCTTACTTATTTTTAACATTATTATTGTCAATGTCATGATTATTTAGAATTCTAGAAAAATTTGTAAATAATTAATAATAAAGTTATTTTTCAGAATATTATTACCAGGACATAGCTAATGATAAAACTAAGACATATTACTAGCAATTTGTCTTTGTGTGATCTCAGAATGGTAAAAAAAAAGCAGAAAAAATACATTAATTATGTATAATTAAGTAATTGAGAAATTAATAGTACCAGCTTTTTACTTAAATATGTGAAGTAGGAAAAAGGATAGAAAGCTAAATATTCTGGTGCTAGTTAGCAATACAGAAAAATGGAAAAAAGAAATTGTAGCTCAACTATGTTATGGTTATTCCTTATAAGAATTGTGTATAGAGTACCTTAGAAATAAGCAAAGGACTTAACAGAATATACTTATCTTGATCTCTGTTTCCTTAGTATTTTTTTTTAAATGAGGTAATTTATAAGATAGGAGATGGTGAGATGCTATATAAGAATGAAAATGTTTGAAGTCCCTCCCTGGTGGCTCAACAGTTAAATCACAGTAATATGAAGCTATCTGCAGCCACTGCAATGGGAGTTCAATCCTGGCCAGGCCAGGGAGGTGACTAAAACGGCGCAGCAGACCTGCTCCCCTCAGGTCTGACCTGCTGCTCCCCTCAACAGTAGGTCTGACCTGCTGCTCCCCTCAACAGTGTACTTCGTTGATGGTCTGCCTTTTCTGCTCCCTGATGTCTCTGGTGAATCTCCTCACCCTCCTGCACCTCTGGCTTGCACACCAGTTCTTGTGTGCATGAATAAATCAAGCTTTAAAAAAAGGTAATGATGGGCCCTCCCTGGTGGCGCAGCAGTTTAAAGCACAGCACTGAGAATCTAAAGCTGCTTCCGCATGAGTTCGATTCCTGCCTGCCCTGGAGGTGACCACATGG